ATGAGAATGATTAGTCACTGGAAATGATTAGACAAGCTATAGGGCTCATATCCCCACTCAGGTTCCAGTGGAAAGTATGAATAAAATGATCAAACTGTGTACTGTAGTAATGAGATGAATGTGTAGCCATAATATTTTATTGTAATAAATTCTAGTAGCAATGTCTAGGCCTGTCACTCAGCTCAGTAGAATTGATTACACTAAAATATTATATGTAATAAATTGTGGCTACACATTCATCACATTATTAAAGTACACAGTGCAGATCATTTTGTCATACTTTCTCTGGGACTGTCCCAAAAGAGAATACTGTAGTATGAAAAAAAATTCTGATCTGCACTGTATACTTTATTAATGTGATGAATGTGTAGTGATAATTTATTATATTCAATTCCAGTAGCAGCGTCTAGGCCTGCCATTCAAATCACTGAGATTCTCTGAAACACTGAAAGGGAAAGAAAAACAGCTGTTTGTTTTTCTAAAAAAATATATTGGTACTACTGCAGGAATATTCTATCATGGCACATGGAGTACATAAGTCAAAGAGACCAAGTGGATACCAGCAAAATTAAGCAAAAGAGGCAAGGATTAAATCAATAAACACACTTGCTGGAGCCATGCTTCAATATGTCAAAAGACCAAATGATGGCCAGGGTTCATCATAAGTCACTGCATGTCAGTCTCCAGTTCACAAGGCTGATTCTTCTGATGCTATTGTTAGCATGCATTCTGCAGAAGAGCAAGCAGTGAAAATGACAGAATCTGAATCAGAAGAGCAAGGAGTTGAAATAGAAGAATTTCAATCAGAAGAGCAAGGAATGGAAATGGCAGAATCTGAAGCAGAAGAGAGTTCTGAGAGTGACTCTAGTCATAGCCACGATACAATAAAGGAAATGAGTGCCCTTAAGGAGAAAGATTTGCAAATTTTATCTGATGTTTCTTTTTGGGAGATACCAGTTCCAGGTCATTTTCCGGTTCAAATAATCAAATGGGCAAGTGCTTCTTTGCAGAACAAGGCTGGCCCTTTCAGTGTTGCAAAAAGGCAAGTTGCAAAAGCTGAAACATAGGGACATGTGTGCCAACGTTCAAAAGAGTAGTTTTACAAGGGGATGCAAAAATTGCAATAAAATTCTGTGGTCATGGCTGGTTTATTCACCTGTCAGTGATAATTTATATTGTTTTTGCTGCTGACTGTTTTCCATTTGTACTACAGATACAACATCCACATTTGTGACTAGGTTTCCGAAGTGGTGGAAACTGAGCCCGGAAGTACATAACCATAAGGCATGCAAAAAACACCTACACTGCCTTGAAAAATGGAAAACTTTGTCAGCAGGACTGAGGCTGCACAAAACCATTGATTCTGAAACTATTACGATTGCTATTACTATTATGATTGAGAAGAAAAAATGGAGGGACATCTTGCACAGATTGCTTGATATTACATTGTTTCTTGCCAAGCAGAACCTGGCATTCTGTGGCCACAAGGAAGATAAGTCTTCATTCAATAAAGGGAACTTTCTTGAGATGGTTGAAATGCTTTGAAAATATGATCCAGTACTGAAAGAAGGCTTAATTAGATTAAAGCGAAGAACATGTAAACTTAAAGTATCTTTCTATCTCAAACTCAGAATGAGTTTATAAGTGTCCTGGCAAATGACATGGAGAACATTGTTGTACACATAAAGTCTGCAAAGTACTTTGGAATCACATTTGACAGCACACTTGACATATCACATACTGACCAGATGTCCGAAGTGATCAGATATGTGAACAGTAGCAATAGGAAAGTTGAAGTAAAAGAAGTGTTTCTAGGTTTTTTCCCTTTAAAGGGGAAATAAGCTGCTGATCTCAGTTTGGATATTCTTAAAAAATTGGAGAGTGATGGACTGAACATAATGCTGTGCTGTGCTCATTGTTATGATAATGCTTCTACTATGGCTGGAATCCATGGAGATGCAAAATCCATTATTAAGGAAAAGAACAAGAAATATATTTTAATGGATGTGTGGACCATTCACATAGATTATGTGATCAGCACTCTTTTGCTAACAATACTTCATGTGTGACATTTTGGAACTCTTCATTCAATGTTTTTTTTTTTTTGCTGCTTCCCCCCATTGATGGGATGCATTAATTCATCATACTGGAGTGTCAGTGAAAAGATTATTAACACCGGAGTGCTCATCATGCTATAATTAAGCCAGTAAAAGAAAATTTTAATATGTTTATGTCCTCAATCAAAGCTCTTTGTGATCCTTGTGAAATTTGGACTTAAGAGGAACAGCAGAAGGTCTTCTGCTTGATGTCTGTGATTTTACGTTTTTGTGCTACCTATATTTCTGGTGTGATGTGAAGTTGATGTTACACAACAGTACCTGCAAACCAATGGCTTAAGTCTCCATAAGGTGATGACAAAGCTAGAGATGGCTAGAGATGCAAAGACTTTTTATGTATGAAGAGCACAGTCACTTAGCAGAACATGCAATTAAAAAGGCGCATTCAAAGCTAAAGAATATGGAATTGAAATACAGAGAAGAGCCTGGTTTAAGAAGAGGATGTAAGGGGAACAGGCAAGTGATGCTGAATGCATAGGTCTACAAGATGAGAATAGAAGAGGACAATGCTTGAGTGACTTCATTGCTTACACTGTAAACTCCAGATCACATCAAAAGCCATCATGAAAGACGCAGGCATGTTTCAGGCTGTTCAAGCAAAGAGTCTCATATATGACAATGAAGAAGAATTAAAGGTGTTCATTCCAAAACTGACCACTTTTATGATGAAATACCTGAGAGTGAGCTATTAATAGATATACCAAGACTGAGAAGACACCTGAAAACAGCAAAGTTTAACCTGGAAGAAATACATCAATTAGAACAAGTGCATAAAAAGAATATAAAAAACAATATACAACAGGAGATAGTATTAAAAAGGGAGAAAAAAGGGAGAAAAAGGACTATATGGAACATGAAACAAGGAAAAGTTTCAATGGGGTTTTGAAAGAAAGATATCAGTGGGGGAATAAACCAGGAAGAAATTTATTGAGAAAGCTGAAGGAAAAGAAATCAAAGAACTTTATAGATAAAATTAAAGATGAAAAAGGAGAAATGGTATATTCAACCACCGATATCGGCAATATATTTCAGAGATTTTACAGTGGGCTATAAGGATCAGGAGGTAAACATCAGAGGGAATCAGAAGAAGAGAGAATGAGGAAGAGGCTGATTTATTTGAATGAAGCCGGTATGCCTAGATTGGATACAGCTAGATTAATAGCTTTAGATAGCCCAATATCAATTGAAGAAGTCATCTTAGCATTAAGGGGCACAGCAACAGGGAAAGGTCCAGGCCCGAATGGATTCACAGCGGGATATTATAAGAAGTTTAAAGAACAATTAGTCCCTAAACTGAGTATTTATATGAATGCTTTGGGAGAGGGCACTAAGATGAGGGAGGAGTTGCTGCAGGAACAAAGGAACACAGCGCCTCTGTGTACTGTAGTAATATTTAATAAAAAGATAAGTAGTAACTCACATCTTAGAATTTAAAAGCAGGCTCAAGTGATGAAGAAGTAAAAATGTCTTGTGCCAGATGTTAGGGGTGACTGTACCAGAGGGAGATAGCCTAGGTCCGCCAGCAAATGGTGCTATGTATGTGTAGCATAGGTGGTGAAGTCTGGCAGAGTCTCCAAGATGTCCGAGGTCGGTCACGTTTGGCGTCTGACGTCATTGATGAGGTATTAACCTCTTCACGCCTAAGGGTAAAACAAATCTAAATGCCTAAGCACAATTTTACAACGTTGACATGTGTTAGTAAAACTGCACATATCATCACAACTCGTTTGTACATCAAGGTGAATTATACCTTGTTTTTTTCAGGACAAATTGGGCTTTCATTTGGTGGTAAATGGTAATGGATATCTCCTGATTTTTTTTATTACCAAAGGAAAACTGGCCCAAAATAGTAAAAAAATATATATTTTTTTTTAATTTATCTGTGTGTTTCTTGTTACTACTATAACCTACCACCAAAGAACAACCCAAAATAAATTCTCCAGCTCTTGACGATTGCAGCGATACCATATATGTGTATGTTATTTGTTGTTTGTACCTGTAGTACAGCCCAGAAACAATAGTGCACATTTTGTTTTTGGGGGTTTTTTTTACCTAAAAGACACTGGCACTGACACTAACTGACACTGATACCAATTTTTTTTTTTAAATCCTGACCTTTGACCCAAACCTTTTGACCTTGACCTAAACACTTACCCTGGCACTGAGCTAGATCAAACCTTGATCTAGGTATTTTTTTCTTAATTTTTTATGTTATTTTTTAGTATTTATTTATTTATGTATTTATGTATTTTTTTTACAAAGATTTTTTCTTTTCCCTCTATGCCGGGAGTTAGAGAGATACACTGCATCTCTCTCCTCCATTCATAGAGAGGAAATAAAAACAAGGGGGCCGGGCTGTACAGTGACTGATCACTGTGATAGCCAATCAGTGACTGATCACTGAGATAGCCAATCAGAGGCTATCACAGCGATCATGTTACCCGGAATTGGGAGTCCCTAACGATCGAACGAGCAGTACCCATTGCTCTCAGTGACACTGCGGTCTTTTTGCTGGGAGCGCGCCATGCGGTGCGCTCTAGCAGAAAGACAGGTACACAAATATGCGGCCCCATGGAAAATGGACCAGTTCTGTGAGGCCGCATATTTGTGTTACGTCGGAGTCAAGGGGTTAAGTATAGAATTTTGTATTGTAAGATGTTGGATTGAAATGGAATTTGATAAAAAAAAATGTAAATAAAAAAAATACTTCTTTAACCGCCTCCCGCCCGCCATATAGTAAAATGACAGACGCAAGGCGGCTCTCTCGTTCTGGGAGGACGTCATATGACGTCCTCCCATTCCAACCACGCCGGGAGCACGCAGCGTGGTGATCGGCGGTGCGCTGTGTCCCTCGAACACAGCGGATCACAGATCCACGGAAAGAGCCGAAGATGTCGGCTCGGTCATGTGATCAGCTGTGTCCAATCATAGCTGATCACATGTAAACAGGGAAATGTCGGTTATTGGCATTTCTCTCCCCCACGAGCTGTCACACTGACAGCTAGTGAGGAGAGGAGAGCCGGTAATTGGCATTCCTCGGAGTGGACATGTACACAGATCATCAGATCACTGATGATCAGTGTGCCCTGATGATCTGTGTAGCCCCAGCAGCGCCAGCTGTCAGTGTCCATCAGTGCCAGCTCTCAGTGCTCATCCATGCCACCTGCCAGTGTCACATTTCAGTGCCACATCAACAGCACATATCAGTGCCCATCTGAGTTGCCTTTCAGTGTCACCCATCAGTGCCAGTCAGTGCCACCTATCAATGCCAGTCAGTGCCAACTATCAGTGCTGCCACTCAGTGCCACCTATCAGTGCCGCCTATCAGTGCCAGTCAATGCCGCCTATCAGTGTGCATCAGTGCCACCTATCTGTGCCCGTCAGTTCTGCCTATCAGTGCCACCTAACAGTGCCAGTCAGTGCCGCCTATCAGTGCCACCTATCATTGCCGCCTATCAGTGCCATATATGAGTGCTGCCTTTCAGTGCCCATCAATGATGCCTGTCAATGCCCATCAGTGCCACCTACTAGTGCCTCATCAGTGCCACCTATCAGTGTCCATCAGTGCAGCCTCATTAGCGCACATCAGTGAAGGAGAAAAATCACTTATTTACAACATTTTATAACAAAAACTAAGAAAAAACTTTTTTTTTTTCAAAATTTTCAGTGGTTTTTGGTTTGTTTAAGAAAAAATAAAAAACCCAGAGGTGATTAAATACCACCAAAATAAAGCTCTATCTGTCACAAAAAAAATTATAAAAAATGTCATATGGGTACAGTGTTGCATGACCACGCAATTGTCATTCAAAATGCAACAGCCCTGAAAGCTGGAAATTGGCCTGTGCAGGAAGGGGGTATAAGTGCCCTGTAGGCTAGTGGTTAAGATAGATATACCAATCAGTTAACATAACAGGCCCAGCACTATTTGTCCACTTTCCTCTACCCTTGTAAATTATTTCCTAGATTACATGATTCTTTTACCTTGTTCCTGTTATGAAAAACAGAGATGCCATCACCAGCAGTGTAAAATTATTGCAAGGACAGTTGCTGTTCACCCAGTTCAGATTGACTCCCCCCCTCCCCAGAATTACATCTCTCAAGAGCCTTTTCCCTGCACAAAATGTGGAAAATGTATTTAGCGTGTCTATGACACTCTTTAGAATGTTGACATGCCTCCAAGAGACAAATGTCAGTGCTAGCTACAGATTCATGTACCTGTAACAGGGAAGGATTAGTGGTTGCAAATATGCTGTTCTGTTACAATGCATACAGGGGCAGGCAGTCTTCCTTCCTCTGTATACCAACTGTTTGTTTTAATTATGTCCAGTACTGGAAGTAATTATTTTTGAATTTGGTGAATTATAAGCGCCACTTTGTAAACGTGGCACTATTAAGAACTACCTGAATCTACTGCATGCGTCAGTAAAGTTGCTAAAACGTGTCAGGGATCTTTGAATTTGTAGCAAGCCATTTTAAATGGCCATAAGCACCAGAATAGTGTTGATAGGATTTTTGGAGTTCCCTAGAGTATGCGTGCTGGCTCTAGGGAGTCAAGGCAGCAAAATTGTTTTGCTGGAAAGGTAGAGTTGTGTAATCCAGTAGGCAGGACTCACAACACTGCTTAGAATTTCAGGTGCTTTTTCAGCTTAAACAGGCAATTAGGAACACACTAGATTTCTGAGAAGCAGTTGTTTTTTTACTTGCAGCAGTTTTAAAGGGTTAAACTTAGAAAAATGTGTATGTGTTGCAGAAATGTACTAAATATTTAATTTTTTCCCAACAAAAATTTAACCATTTCAATACCGGGCAATTTTACACCTTCCTGCCCAGGCCATTTTTCATGTTTCAGCGCTCTCAAGCTTTGAATGACAATTGCGCGGTCATACAACATTGTACCCAAACTAAAATTTTATAATTTTCTTCACACAACTAGAGCTTTCTTTTGGTGGTATTTAATCACCGCTGGGGTTTTTATTTTTTGCTAAATTAACAAAAAAAGACCAAAAATTTTGAAAAAGTTTACAAATAAATAATTGTTCTTCATAAATTTAGGCCAAGATGTATTCTGCTACATGTCTTTGGTGAAAATAACCCAAATTAGGATGTATTATTTAGTTTGTAGGAAAGTTATAGAGTTCACAAACTATGGTATAGATCTGAAAATTGATCAATCCTGAAGTACTGACAGACAATCTAATTTCTTGAGGTCCAAGAATGTCAGAATAGTACAGATATCCCCAAATGACCCCTTTTTGCAGAGTAGACAGTCTGACATACTTCATAAAAGGAATGGCAAGTTTTTTGAAGTTGTATTTTTTTGTCATAATTTTTCAGAAAATAAAAAATTAAAAAAATTATTTTCACTATTTTTTTTTTTTTTTTACATACTGTCATCAGTGCAGTACAGCATCATCATATAACTGGCATGGCGGTGAACAGGGACACTGACTGGTGACAGTATGAAAAAAAAAAATATATCTATATATATATATATATTTTTTTTTTTTATTATTTTTAATTGTTTATTACATTTTTTTTAATTTTTTTTAAGATTTTGTTTTCATATTTTACTATGACCAAAGTAGTACAATGTTACCATAGTAACAATGTACTACTTTGGGGAAGTGATCAGTATTTTTTTTTTTTTTTTTTTTTACACAATTTGCTTATAGCAAAGAATTACTTTGCTATAAGCAAGCATTTACCTAAATGACATCGGACATCGATTCATTTAGGTTTTTTTTTTTTTTTGTGCTTAGCTGTGATTTGGCCACAGCTAATCACATGACATGTACATGTGACGTGCTGTGACCATTCACAGCTAGGCACTAGTATACAATGGATGGCATGAATGAAGCCATCCATTGTATACAACTGTCATGTGACCTGTCACAGCAGGTCACATGGTACCGGCAATGGGGGCCGGTGCTCAGATCTGTCATCGGCCGGTGACAGATCGCGCTGCTGCGCGGCTCTGCAACCGCGCGAGCTACGCATGTGCGGGAGGACGCCAAATGGCGTACACCCCGGAAAGCTAAAGCATTTTTGCGGCCGCCAAATGGCTATAGGCCGGGCGGCTAATGGCTAAGTACCAAATTGATCATTTATATTTTTTTCTCAAATTTCACAGGTTTACAGATAAATTTCATTAAAATAAAACATGCATAGTATTGGACTGGATTCTTTAGATTAAAAAAATGCAAATCTAATTCTTTTACCATCTAACATACAGCAAACACAAGTAAAACAAATAAATGTATGGCAAAAAAAGCAGAATCAGCAGCTATTTTTCACTTGAAAAATATTTCTGCCACCATCAGCTTTATAACATGTTCTTGTTTTACTAAAACCTAACTCAATGTATTGCTGTCACGAGCATTCCCAAATACCAGCAGGTGACCTGATGATCATGACAACAGCTGCTGTAATGCTATTGCTAATGCTAAATAAAATTTGCTGTGTTTTAAGTATTACAGTAATATCTTAGAGCTAAAAGGTCTATAGTAATTAAAACATCAGGTGCAACGGTTGGGCCATGCTGAGTTTCCATCAAGATATGTACAACATAATGAACAAATTTACCTGAAATAATCAGTTCCTTGTCTATAGAAAAAAGCAACAAAGCTTTCATTATATACTGTACCTCTGAATAAATTCAATAGTCAGTCCAATCAGGGGAGAAGAGAAAGTTGATGACTTTAAGGGTTCAGTAGCCTATCGTAAATTTTTTATCTATCTGCAGCCAAGTCTTTGGGTAGTATGTAATGGTAATGTTTCCTATTTGTGTGGGTGAAATATTAATGTCTATCAGCACAAGGAGCATAGTTATGTGGTATGGTATTCTGTTTGTAGTTATTTTGTACATTAAATTAATTTTATTATTTGTGTTAAACTGGCTGAGGGAATTTTTGGGGAATTTATATCTAAATGGTTATAATATACATGTTGCATAGGATGTTATAACAGATTTCCATTGTTAGGTTATTTAACTTGTTCCATGTAGTTCCTGTAGATTTCCTCTTTATCCTCTAGGCATCCTCGTTTGTTACCCAGCAGGTTAAGCAATCCTTTCTTTGTGGTCGGGACCCTTTGCAGTGTAGTTCATAAGCCTGTCCCCTTCTAGGTTTGGCGTATGCACATCTCCAGTGCACAGGACTGCCATGACGTCATATGCATGGGGACATCATGAAATTGCACAGCAGCTGCTCACCACCAGGGGTTAGGAAAGTGGGTGGGTCCCATCTTATGTTATCCCCACCAATGTGAGATTGGCGAGGAGGATATGGTGGCCATTGAGTAGGGATATATCAGGGGCAGTATGTACCTCTGGATTACTGCACACAGTACTTCAGTTACCATTGCATAAGGTTTGGAGCATTTTGCCAGTGTCCTTCAGGCAATAGTTTATGGATGTTCTAAGGCAGCCTTTTCAAACCAGGGTGCCCAGGAACCTTGGAGTGCCTTGAGGTTTGTGCTGGGGTGCCTTGGCAAAATGTCTAAAATTGCCCAAAACGTGTTTACAAGCCAGCAGGTGGAACAATCCTGCCTTTTAGTTACACAAAGCCACAGGATTTCATTGTGCACCCTTATGACCTTCTATCTGCCAGTGTCCTGACAACAAATGATATCATCAGTTGATAAGGAGGATGTTGGTTGCCTGCACAGCATCCTTGTTTGACCCTCCCCTGCCCCTCTTCATCAGCACTGGGGTCATATTAGCACAGTGATGGAGAAAAACTGAGGGAGAAGAGAAACACTGGCATACTAGTCAGTACCAATCTATAAAAGTGTATTTGCTTTGGAAGAATAAATCACCTCTAACATTGGGTATCCTACAAGTATAGATGTTGCTACATTATATAAAACTATTAGAATAGTTTTTTTACATTTTGGGAGTGCCTCAAGACAGTTCATAATTTTAAAGGGTGCCTTGACTGAAAAAAGGTTGAGAAACACTGTTCTAAGGCATGATTTTGGGAAGTACTCTGAACACATTTGTCCTATTTTATGTAATCTCCCTAACACACAGTTAATGTTTTTGACATCATTGTCTTGATATATTCTATATTGGTAAGGGGGCTTTTTGATCTAACCATATTTAGAAACTATGTAAAGTATATTTCTTTGATTTTTTTTTTGCTACTAGAGCTCTGCTCTTTAAATATAGCAGGGCTACTTTATTAAATAACATACAAGAAAATCAGGGGTTTTGTCTCAGAAAATAGCTGTAGGAACTCACCCTCCCTGGCCAATCCCCCCCACCCCCCCATCCCTGCCATTCCTCAGGGGAGAAGTAGAGCAGCATCAAATAAGCGCATTGCTCAAGAGGC